GGCTCCCAGGACAGGAAAACTTTGCCTACAAACACAGTACTGACTAGCCAGGCTTGGGCAAATGTCTCTGGAAGCAGAGCGGTATTCAACTTTACCAGAAGCAAAAGCGCTCACAAGGCAAGTGGAGAGCTGCTTAGGAGGAGACTTGCTGAGTCAGCTTGGGTTTATTTACTCATGATCTGCATTCAGCTGCTTTTCTCTGAGAGGTGGGTGGTGGCAGCAGCTCATCTGCATCTTCTATGGTGGACAGTGAGAGTGTGAATGGAGGCAAGGGAGTGGCCCAGGAGGGGTGCTGTGGTGAGACCACAGTGCCTAGTCCTCAGAAGGCCAAGTTGTGGATTGGAATTTGCTCCCTGGGTGACCTTGACTTGCATTTATTTCTCTGTCTCATCCTTTATCTCAGAAGCACAAAAAAGGTTTCCCTGAGGCAGTCCTCGGCCCAGCATTACATCTCCACACATAGTAATGGCTCTGGCAATTCCTTCTGTTCACAATAGACTCAGTTGTAGGTGAAGCATTGGTTCAGAAAGCTTTTGGAGAGGAGAAGAAAGCAGCCATGTCACTTACAGAAAAGAACCTGAATTTGTCAACCTGAAATACATCCCTTCCAACAGCAGAATGGAGTACTGCAGAGGTGGTCAGTGGGTAGACACAGACTGGGAGTCTCTGTGCTGCTCCCAGGCATTGAAGGGGCCAGCTACCCACATGTGTCCACACCTGGTGACTCCCAAGGCTTGCCCTCTCTGCACCTATGTCCCTATCGACTCCAGTCTCTGGAGCTCAAAAATCACATTTCTTCCTTCATCACACAGGGGAAAATAAATGACCTGCTTATCTGCATTCAAGGGGGGGGGCATCCATATTTTGTTCTTGCCCCTAATGATAACTCCTTTGCCATTTTCTTTCCATCCCATTTCCCCGTGTCAGGCTTCACTGCTGCTGGAATCAGCCTGTAATTTCCATTCTGTAGCCTCCTCCCCTTTGGGTGATTACCACTCTCCCCATGTAATCACCAGCCTCCCTAAATAGAATTTTAATGACCATAAGACATTTCATTGTGTGTCTGGGATTGTTGTATTTAATCATTTGCTATTTTTTGAACCTCCAAGTGGTTTCCAGGTTGTCACTAGGGGCTGATCACTTATCAATGACTCATTTTCTGTGAAAACTCATTTCATATCTCTGATAACATCATGAGGGGACTTTCTGCGATGCAGTGATGCTGCAACCAAGGTTGGGACCTGTCTTGGGCTCTTCAAAAGAGTGTTGACATTACAGTCTTGCAGATGGATGTCAGGCCTGTTGGGAATGCTGTATGCATGTAGCTGTACCTGCAGAGACATGAGTGTGTGTGCACATGGTCAACGTTTGCAGAGAAATGCCTGTGCACACATGTAGCATCTTCTGTGAGCCATTCCTAATATTGGGAGGATCTGGCCTTTGTAACTAGGGAAGCAACCCTTTATAAAATCTGCTACCCCAGATTGGCATCAGAAGAGTTCAAGGAGGCTTAAATGGCTGCCACTAACCGATGGCTCCTGACTGAGACACCAGACAAAACATAACCTTAGCTTCCCTCTGAAATCAGACCAAGCTGTGAGCTGAAGGCTTCCTCTTCCTTCCCTGAAGAGTGACCCCAGGTCATTCCTTTCCCGCGGGCACATCTCCACATCTCTTTCCTGGTCCTCAAAAACCTCGCAGGGTTATGAGAGAACATGTAGAAGTGAGAATCAACAGTTGAAGGTCTTGTATTTTTATACAAGTTTTCATGTGTGAGAATTAGTTCATGTTCAGCAATGTGCACACTGTACATGACACAGATAGGCAGCTCGGTGAAGAATATTCCACAGGGCATCCTGGGTACCAACTCCCAGAGCAGAACATCAAATAGAGGTTAGTGATTCCAAGGCTTTCTGCTGCCCTCAATAGCATAGCTCTCTGCATACTGCTAAAGAGAGGGAGGATCCTGATGCTTGTCTTCATGTTTTCATTATGATGTTCCAGAACAATGTAGCTTAGCATGCAGAGCTTGGGAGTTTCTAAAAGTCAACTCAGGGGTATGTATCATCTTGTTTTTGACTCCCTTGGCTCTAAAATGTGTGCTTAACATTCACACATTGTCCTGTAACATTTTCAATATATGCTATTATGCTATTTTTAAAAGTTAAGCTTTATTAGAAACAGCCATGGCTCGTCCCCTCCTCTTCCCCTGAGAAGTGAGCTATTATTCCCATGCTTCTGGAATTGGAATGGCCTAGTTGGTTGCTTTGAGGGGATTACTCAGAGACCAAAGCCCGTGTCCTCATCTGACCCTTCTGCTACTTCATTGCCGTCTGCCTTGGCTGGGGCTGCAGGAGCTATAGAACAGCAATGGTAGCAGCAGCCGTAGGGGCAGCAGCCAAGAATGCAAATGGGTCAGCCGAGAAGACCTTCATCTTTTCAGCATGTGGGACGTCTCCACAGACAAAGCCAGGGCCCACTGATGATAGCATGTGTCACAACAATTGGGTAACCAATCTGCAGACAGACAGACACTGACAGCATCTTGGATGTCCTCCAGGAATCCAGAGTGCGAAGTATTCTCTGTCATATTGTGCACTTCCAGACTGTCTAACACCTGCCGAACGATCAGCCCGGAGGAGAGGGAGATGCTCGGTATGTGCAGTAGTGTGGCTTCTCTGGCTCTCACTCTCATCTCTGTCTTTACCAGTTCACAGCACTCAAAATTTCAGTGGCGACACCCCCAACCCCCAGAATGTTTTAGACGTGATGCCTAAAGGCCTGGAAGGAAGTGGTCTTCTCTACCCCAGACCAACGTTCTGGGCTGGCACAGTGACCTTGCACAGGGTGATGGCACCAGCCTGCGCTTTACTGTCCAACAGCGTGTCCCTGATTTCAGTGAGGTCCTCGTTGGTGAATACAAAGCCCACATTCCCTCAGCTGTGAGGCAGCAGTTTCTGCAGAGCTGGGAAGTTTGCAGATGCCCCCGACAGCCTTGCACATCCTGGGCTTCTTCTCATCAGCACCACAGCCTTCCCTCTCCGGGACACGCGAACGGCTGACCTGCTTGGAGCCCACATTGTCTGCCCCACAATGAAGCAATCTGGATAAGCACCTAAAAGCTCCTAAGGAAGTAGGTGGACTCCCAAGTCACCCTGTTTTCCCCGGGCATCATGGCCGTGTATTAGGGTTTAGAATGAAGATGCCTGGCAAGAGATCTTTTTATTTTCTCTATGGCAGTTTTTCTTGCCTAATGGTGGACATGAGTAACTGCACTACCCTGTAGGAGCCTCAAGGCCTGGGCATACCTGTTCCTCTGTGCCTGTGAGTTCCACAGCTGAGGACTTAGTCAAGATCAAGAAATGCAGGGAGGAAAGCCATCTGTGCTGGCCACAGAACTTTCCTTGTTCCCCGAACAGTGCAGTACAAAGTGCTCTCACAGCATTTGCATTGATTAGATATCCTAAGTAATCCAGAGATGACTCAAAGCGTACCGGTGGGGGCGCACGGCTATCTGCAAACATGGTACCATTTTATATAAGGGACCTGCATCCTCCCACCGGGCATCTGCTGGGACCCTGCGGCCGGTCCCCACTGTGACGATTGTGCATGCTCTTGGTCCTTATGTCAGCGTTTGTTGACCCATGCATTCCCCATTCCTTTAGTTTCTCTCAATACCTGTCTCTGATAAGTTGCTCAAGATTTTCCTGTTGTGTACTCACAATAGAGAGATTCACAAGTCCAAGGTAATTGAGCCCATTTACAGACTCCATGTCTGCAGGTTCTTGACGCTCCATGCCAGCCTTAGTACCCATGTGTGGACAGACATTAATAGTTTTGTGAAGGTTTTTATTATTTTTTTTTGTCTTTTTTTTTTTTTTTTTTTTTTTTTTGCTTTGTTTTGTTTTGTTGTTGTTTTGTTTTTTGGTTTTCTGAGACAGGGTTTCTCTGTGTAGCTTTGGAGCTAATCCTGGAACTAACTCTGTAGACCAGGCTGGACTCGAACTCACAGAGATCTGCCTGCCTCTGCCTCCCGAGTGCTGGGATTAAAGGTGTGCGCCACCAATGCCTGGCTAGTTTTGTGAAGTTTTAACTGAGAGATAGAATCTCACTTTCATTTGGTCTCTACTAAGTAATGACAGTGAACACTGAATATTTTGTGCATTTGTGGGTTGGTGTTTTTGAGGGGTAGGGAAGACTCTTGCTGATTCTTCTCCTGTGAATTTCTTGTTACTTTTGTGGAGTCTTCATTTGGATATTTGTCATATGAACACTTGCCAGAATTCAAGGGGAGTCATGCATCTAAAACTCTAATAATGATAATATAAAAAATACCCAGAGCAACGATCTCAGGAAGCTGGGATCTTGCACAGAGACACCTGGCAGAGCAACAATCTCAGGAAGCTGGGATCTCGCACAGAGACACCTGGCAATAAGAACAAGGACGAGTGACATGGGCCAGAGACATGCAGAGACCATCACAGCCCGACAGAGAAAATGCCCCTGCAAGGTCAGATGCCCAGGAGCTGCCTGTCTGGGGGGCTGGCATCACCTGTAAATGACATATGCAACTGGGAGCGGCTGCTTTATGTGACCCTTTGCAAACCATTGTCTCCCATCGCTCTGTGGATATGTCCCCCTGAATTTCCCCTGCATGAGCCTTCCAGGTCTGCTGAGTCTTTGGAGACTACCCATCTGTGATTTAGGTTGGCCGCCTTTCTGTGACTGATTTATAGGACTCCTTTTCAATATCCTGTTCGCCAATGTTCCGTAAGGACCTCCCCCCACCTTTGGCTACTCACTACACTTTGTCATCGATCATTTTCACTTAGCAGTTTGTGGTTTTAATCAAATCAACCCTTTCCCCTGTGGTTTGTGCCTTTAAAATTTTTTAAATTGAAAATAGATTTTTTTTTCCCATATAATATGTTCTGATTACAGTTTCCCTTCTCCAACTCCTCCAACTTTTCCATTCTTTAAAAAAAAAATCTTTTCCATTTAAAAATATGGAATGCCTCATGAATTTGCATGCCACTCTCGCACAGAGTGCATGCTCATCTTCTCTATCATTCCAGTTTTAGTGTGTGTGCTGCTGTTCTTTTCTGGACATTAAAATGGATTTTCTTCTAATGTCTTCAGGTCATTCTCTGCTGGATTCTGGTGACACTGCATTCATCTCTTGTGCAGTTATATGAGGAAAAGCTCTCTGCTCTCTGCTGAGGTTAGAAACTGAGAGTCAGTGAGTTCCTCAAGGTTCATAGCTGAGAATGACAAAATAGGGAGGGATCTGTGTCCACAGTAGAGATCCGTGTCCACAGTAGAGATCCGTGTCCACAGTGGAGATCTGTGTCCACAGTGGAGATCCGTGTCCACAGTAGGAATCCGTGTCCACAGTAGAGATCGTGTCCACAGTGGAGATCCGTGTCCACAGTGGAGATCTGTGTCCACAGTAGGGATCTGTGTCCACAGTAGAGATCCGTGTCCACAGTAGGGATCTGTGTCCACAGTAGAGATCCGTGTCCACAGTAGAGATCCGTGTCCACAGTGGAGATCCGTGTCCACAGTGGAGATCCGTGTCCACAGTAGAGATCCGTGTCCACAGTAGGGATCCGTGTCCACAGTAGGGATCCGTGTCCACAGTGGAGATCCGTGTCCACAGTGGAGATCTGTGTCCACAGTAGAGATCCGTGTCCACAGTAGCCCAGAAGTTGCCTGAGAGTCCTCCTGCAGCCACAGGTTTACTTCCTCTCTTTGGACAGATTGGACAGGAACGCTCGGTTCCCTCCCATTCTCCAGCAGAGGGCAGCTCATCTCAGAGAAGGAAGTGGATTCTGTCACTTACTGGAGTCAGAGTATAACTTCGGACCTATGTCTTCATGGGGCATTTGGTTAGGCTGGGAACCTCTCTGGGTTCTTGGCTTCCCATCACCAGAGTACCAGGCCATGCCAGCTTCCTGCCCATGTGGCTTTGGATCCTGGCAGGCGAAGCCTTCTCCAGGCAGGCATTGTGCTCCCTGTTAGGGCATGGCAGAGCTGCAAAGGTTGTTTCATTTTGCTTTCCTTAGAAAATTGAGGTCTGCCTGTTATCCCAGTGTCCCTGGCATGGAAAGTTCCTGAGACAGATTTGCAGAGAAGATCCAGTTTTGAGTGACCAACAGGGCTGTGGTCCCTGAAGCCCAGGTTCCAGGCTGGTTCTCCTTAGCTCTGCTAGGACATAGATGTGGCCATAGTGCGCAGATATGTCTTACTCTGACAACCAAGGGCTTATGATTTGCAGTGAACATCACATCCTCAAGGGGTCAACCTGCTACTTAGTTATGTTTGGTGACAGGACCTAAACCCAACATTTCCTCTGGTAGGCTCATATCCAAGCCTTTCCCCCAAACTGCAACCTTCCCCGGTGGCCCGCTTGGACACTTCCTGCCATAAAGAAAGCCACTGTTGCCTTCTAGGTCTCAGCTCACCAAAGTCCCACAAATTGTACTTGAACTATCCAGCCAGGTGAAAAATCTCTTTAGGAGACATTTGTGTGTCCTTCACCTCCACACAGCTACCAGACTACTGGAACTGAAGGAATCAAAATTCCCCAGGTAGCTCATGATGGAGAAGGAAAATGCTGGGCCATGAGGCCAGGCAAATATGCAACTTCTTCGGAAAGAGTCCATGCAGATCTCACGCCTTGTCAGAGCAGCTTGAACAAGAGGCAGGAGCTGATACAAAGATGGGTCAGTCATCAATGGGACCACGTGTTGACCAGGACTGCTAAGCTATGCATACCCTTTACCTCTGCAGGTCAGGACCCTAGAAAACAATCTGGGGCTCAGTGACCCTCTCTGTGGTGACTTGGATGAATTTCCTTTCTCTGCTTTTGACTATTTGGTCTTTTTAACTGGCCTATTGTGGGCAGGCTGCTGAGCCTAACCTATTAGGGATGTCATGGCCCAGGCTTTCACCCTAACAGCTCCAGCAACAACCGTTACAGGAAAAAAAAAAACAGATTTGGGGTGCCATCCACTCACAACTTGACCTCGGGTAGGGAGACATGATCCAATGGTTGGAACACCAGCTGGGGTCAATTTATTGCAAAGATCATCCACCCCAGTCACTACTGGCTGCTTTTTGTCTTTATTTAGTGAACAGAAATGAATATTTGGACTCCCCAAAAGTCTGAACCTTGTTAAGTTTCTCCCCCATTGGTGCACCTTGGAGTTCAGAGCCATCCAGGTTTTGATGGATAGTTAGGGCTACTACATCATATGTGACAGGCCTTGTCAATTTGTGAGAACATTTAGAATTTAGGTTTTCTGCTAGCTATCAGGGCATCCGAGGACGACAAGGAAGGCTGAGCATATTTGTCTTAGGGACTTTTCTGAGCAATTGGGTTCTGTAGAGCCATTTGGAACACAGAGAAACAAAGGCGTTCAGGAGAACTCAACTGTGATTTGTGTAGACGTGGGGAACAATAAGTGTGCATTTTCTTGACATCTCCTAGGGAGATTTCTAAGTGACCAATCTTTTGTAGATTTGTGGTGATTTATCCAAAAGTACACTTTGCATTAATATAATTACTTTGTGTGTCACTTTGTGTCTAAAGCAGCATGGGGACAAAGTTAATCTGTCCTTGCAGGGGAAAATTCTCCTTACAGGATTTTCAAGATGAGATAGCTCTTGAAGATCCTGTAATGGGATTTTTTTTTTTCCAGGAATATCCTCAATATGCAAGTGACGAATGCAGGATTGATATCAAGCCTGTTATACACATAGAAAGATGGCTGTGTGTGCAGTCCAAGGTCTTTATGTTGGGTTTTCTTTTCTTGATAGGAATTCAAAAGACTTGATCCCTATAGACCTCCAGTACCAGGGGACATCGACTCTGTAGTAAAAAGGCAATGTTGTTACATTTTACCCAAAAGATAGCTAATGTCTTTCCCTTAAAGAGTGATTAAGTTGTTTAGATATCAGAGATATCTAAACTGACCTTTGCTAGGTAGATTTAAAACATCTCTTTTTATCTAAGTATTTTTGTATGGTTTCTGGACTCTGCTCCACATAAAATACATATCTATTTTGTTGATGTTAAGAAGGGCTAATTTTATTATAGGATAGTAAAGTTGTGCTAAGATTAATTCTAATGTTAAGAGTGTATTACTAAGAGACAATACATGTTGTTATAAATAATTCTACAAGACTGGAGAGTTGAATAGCTGAGTTGGTGTATATGTACCTTGTACTGTTATTTAGAGTATATGTTTTATTAAGCTGTTTATGTTTTTTTGACTGATTTTTGCTACCCAGAAAACTGTGTCCTAGCAAAGTTAGGGTTCACTTCCATACCTATTTATGTTAAGGTCTTTCAAATGACCTGTTTATAATCAACTGTTTTAAAATGGTTTTCCTGTATGTATGTGTGCATTCATATATATGACCAGTGGTTATGCACAGCTGTATATCTAAACTTTACACACATGTAAAAGTTTTCAGAGTTAAGGATTGATGAAATGGCCCAGATGTTAAAAGCACTGGCTGCTCTTCAGAGGAACCAACTTCAGTTCCCTGCTGGTACCCATGTGGTACCTCACAACCATCTGTAACTCCAGTTCCAAGGGAATCAGGTGCCCTCTGCTGGCTTCTTCAGGAACTGCATACATGTGGTATGTATGCATACACACAGGCAAAACTACCAATTTTTTAAGTTTACTGTTAAATTGGGGCAGTAGTGGCACAGGCCTTTAATCCCAATACTCAGGCAGAGACAGGAGGATCTCTGAGAATTTGAGGTCAGCCTGGTCTACAGAGTGAGTTCTAGGACAGCCAGGACTATACAGAGAATCTGTCTTGAAAAACTAAAACCAAACCAAACCAAACCAAACAAAACAAAAACAAACAAAACAAAAAAATCCAAAACCAAAAACAAACCAAACAAACAAAAAAGCAGATAAAAGGTATTTTCTTAATACATGTAAAGTGGCCACTAAGCACTCCTGCCTGTACAGTATACATTATATCTGGATTTTGTTTGTGCAAAATGGCCAGTGAAATTAATCTAGTCATTGTCACTCAGATAAAAAAATTAAAAAAATAAAATAACCCTGACTGTAACAAGTACAGTTTTTCCTCCTGCTGCCAGTCTTGTCCGGCAGCCACGCCGCCAGCCCCAAATAATACACAGAGACTCTGTATATGATACAATACTGTTGGCCCAGTTACTTGTTTCTTATCGGCTAGCTCTGTCTTAATTATTAACCCATTTCTGCTGATCTATGTATTTCTCTTACCAGGGAGCCGGCGGCATACTGCTTTCTCCAGACTCTCCATCTTGACTCCTCCTTCCTACTTCCTATTTCCTCCTTGTCTCCTAGTCCCTCCTATCTTCCTTTCCTATTGGCCAACAGTGCTTTATTATTAACCAGTATGAGAAACATATACAGAATGACATCTCCCATCATCTCCTCTTTTCTGTCTAAACAAAAACAAGGGTTTTAACCTTAACATAGCAAAATATATCACATAACAGTTATCAAATAAGAATCACAGTTAACACTATTTAGTCCATTAACATTTAGCAAGATTTGAAGAAAATATTCCATCATCTATCCTATCTTTGTGTGTCTAAAGTCTATGTAACTTATCTTTAATACTAAGGAAAACTATAACCATAACTATCTGTCTTCAACTCCTTCAAAGACCACAGAAGGATAGTCTATAAACTCTAGAAATGACAGAGACATCTTGCCTTGTCAGGCACCTGAAGTTCTTCTGTAATCTTCCGTCTTCAGCCCATAGGCCATAGTGTGTCTGGCAGACTCTTCAGCAATGCAGAAAACTTTAAACTGTCTTCTTTATTGGCAGTTTGTCAGTCACTTTTCTCCGTGTCCTGCATACTGTCTCGAAGACTCTTCCATGAAGCAGGATCTCTGTAGCAATGTCCATCTTGAATCAGGAGTCACTTTCCTGTGGGTCCTGCATGTCCAGTTTATACATCACAAAGTCAAACAGTCCAGACCAGAGCAGTATCTTGTCCAAATGGCTAGTCTTGCCATATTGGAAGCAAACTTCATAATGCATTTCTTCGATGTCCATCTTCCTTTCTGGTGCAGGTGGTATTGCC